ATCTGGGTTAAATTTCTCTTCTTATATTATTTGGTATATTCTTAGCAGTAAATGTCTCCCTGCTGCCCAAAGACTCAAAATAAATCACCCATAGATATGTCATACTGCTTGAAATGTGACTAATCCTTTAACAATAATCTCTTTTTAAAGTGTGAATCGACTAGAAAGTTATCTCCATGGGGAAAGGAGAAAATGAATGAGGAGGCACTTTGTATCCCATCAGGCCTCTGTGAATGTTGATGGACACTGTATAAGGACAGGAGAGGAGAATGACACGTGTGGAGTGACACATATAGAGTGACATGTGTGGAGACAGGAAGCCCACGCTGAAGTCCACTTGCTGCTGTGTGTCCCCCTGCAAGTCCCGCAGCTTCTTTCAAAGTAGGTACCACCACTAAAATGGGAATTGTAATTTACTTGTTTGTTAAGGCTGTTTGGGAGATTGGGATACTTTATTGATTCAAATATTTTGCAGGATAAATATTTATTAATTAAAGGAATTTGTAAAATGGCATAGTATAAAATATGAGATGTAGTCAACCATTTGCAACCATTTAATCCATTGCACTGGCTCATTCAAACAGATGGTTTCCATGTGAACCCCACTACCCAAGAAGAGGTAAGATTCTCATAACTAGAGCTGCTTTTATTGAGGAGATTATGGTCATAGATATGCAGGGATGATTTACATATTGGAAAGAAGTTTAAAGATTTTCCAAATATTCTATGATCCTATGGCATTTCTGGAGAAGAATACACATCCCCCAGAAATTCTGACAGAAGAATGTGTCAGCTCTGAAAAAGCCAAATGAAGTCATGAGGGCAGAAGGGTTTTCTTATTCAGTCAGCATTGGGACAGGATTGATCCCAGTCACAAGTGTCTAACAGTTAATAAAAACAAACTGTTCTCATATTCTATATTTGCAGCTAGATAAAATCTTCACAGCATAAGAATAGGCGTTTGATAGGGATGGGGTTCATGCTACCTCCAAACTTAACAGTAGGAAGTAAATATAGCTATTTATATTTGTGACTTGGACAGGGCTGATGCTTTACTTGGTGTCAGCTGATGCAACTCAACTTGGGTTACCTCCCATTTTCAACTCTCTCTCTCTTATGGCTATTGAGCTGTTGCCTGCAATATCAGTTAGAGGGGAGTCCTGAGATCCTCAGTGGTCTCCATGGGAATTTCCTATAAGCTTATAAGAAGACTTCCCTCACAGCGTTATGGTGGAATTGCCAGAATCAAAGTGAGTCCTAGAGCTTAGAAGTAGAAGGTGGCAGTCTCTAAGACCACTGTTCACTTCTATTGTATCAAGCAGCCATGAAGCTCAGAATCATGGGAAAGAGACATAACCCTCCTCCCCCTCTCAATATGAAGTGTATGCCAAAGAATTTGGGGACTTTTTAAAGTTGTTCATGTTTTAAAGTTGTTTATTTATTTATATGTGGTGCTTAGAATCAAGTCCAGTGCCTCACATGCTAGGCAAGCACTTTACCACTGAGCTACACCCTAGCCCCTTGGGAACATATTTTTAAAACCTCTGCAGATAATGCAAGAGGGAACAGAGGGTAAAAGAACATTAAGTTTTGGAGGACAAATATGAGTTGGTGCCATTAGCTGAGGAGAGGTTCTCATCTAATTTTCCAAGAAACAAATTCAAAACATTAACAATTGAACAAGTTAGGGCCAATGTAGATTTAGGAGAGAGGAAATGGGATGGCACCAAACACATAATTGTACAACTTTTGAATTTTATTTGGTTTTATCTTGACCAAGGTGGGTCCTGGGTTTATTAATTATGTTCTTTAATCCTAGGGAAATTTTAAGATTTTCTGTTGCTTCCTTTTCATTATTTTTCTTACCCTACAAATTAATTACTGAGTGTTTTACAATAGATTTTGCATATTAATAATTATAAATTGAATGTGATTGCTATATGAAAGTATTCTGCAAATACCAAGCTTCCTGTCCATTTGTATAATTCTATACAGATGAAAGTTTCTTTGACATTGTAATCATCTCACTTAATTCTCATACAGTCATTGTGAGGTGAGTTGTTTTCATTAATAACAGTCTTTCCAGATTAAATGGAGAGAAAACCACTTGCACGTGAACCATGCACATTAGTTTGGAGTAAGATAGAGGTCCTCACCTGGTGATGTGCATTTTCCCTTCTGATATACCTGATGAATAATATCACATTTAAATGGCCAGGATTTTTCCCCTGCTTTTATTGCTCTTATTCCTGTGTTTCAGCCAGGAAATGCTCAGAACTGTCTCAGAGGCCTAATTTTTTTTATAGCTTTCCCAATCTGATAGTTGGAAACTTAGAGGGAACATTATCACCAATTTGATAGGGGCCTTTGACATCTGGGCTTGATGAATGGGATTCCACCCTGAGTGAAATGGAGAGGATCAGTCAAATCATCTGCAAACACGAATTTAATTCCCAAACCACTCTAGCAGAGGAACCTAACGTGGAGCTGAAGTTGCAATTTTAGAGACATGAGCAAACTTTCTTCCTCCACCTCCCTCTAAAATCTTTCCTATTAAAAAGATGGATTCTTTCTATGCCATGTTAACTGGTATTTGGAGAAATTGTTAGAGAACCATTAAAAGTTGACACTCTAAAATGTTAAATATCAAATTATGAAACTAGGAAAAAATTAGAAAAACAATCTGATGAAAAGATTCTAATTTTTAGTATTTAGTATTTTTAAAAGTTTAGTAATTATTTAGTGTTTTAGTGATTTCTTGGCATAAAAGCTAAGGAAGAAACTATAAAAAGGATCGACTGATTTAGATTTATAAATTCTTTAAAAAATTCAACACTGAACAAGGTATTAAAAATTAGTACAGCTGGGAGCAGTTGTGCACACCTGTAACTCCAGTGACTTGGGAGACTAAGGCAGGAGGATTGCAAGTTCAAGGTCAGCCTCAGAAATTTAGTGAGGCCCTATGAAACTTAGTGAGGCCCTATCTCAAAATTTAAAAAATATGACTGGAGATGTGACTCAGTGGTAAATCATCCCTGGGTTAAATCCATAGTGCTGCCTCCCCCCCAAAAAAATTTAATGCAAAAATAAAGTTGGAAAAACATCTCTTCATTTATGTCAGAAAAAAATTAATATTCTAAATATACTCAGTACTTTTCTACACAAACAGGAAACATTTAAATTCACCATAGTCCTTTGACCATCGCAGCCTATTGTCACAAGACCAAAGTCGTCATCATCATCGGCAGCAGCAATACTAATCCATCACAGCTGACACTGGACATGTGCCCTTGACCTGGCATTGTTCTAAGTACTCTGTGAACTCATTTAATTTTTCCAAGAAACTCTTGAGAGAGTACAATGGACTGAATGTTTATGCTCTCCCCAAATGTGTATGTTAAAATCCTAACCTCTCAGGTGATATTATTAGGAGGTGGAGCCTTTGGCAGGTGCTTTGGTCAAGACATGATCTCATATAAGACCCTAGGGAGATCCCCTACCTCTTCTGCCACCTGAGGTACTGTGGGAAGATGGTGGCAGTTCAGTGGACCCTCATCAGGCAAGGGCTCTCTTATTTTCCAGATTTTGTAATTACAAATTGGAGATTAAAACAAAAAGAGGTCGTCATCTAATTTGCCCAGCATTATGTGGCCAGGAAATGGCAGAGTTAGGATTCAGACTCAGAGTCTCCAGCTTCAGAGGGTGGGCCACTTCATTTCTTCCCTTAAGAGGCAAGAACAGAAGCCTTAAAAAAATAATCAATGGGCTAATAAATGTATAGATGTATGGTCAACCATACTAATAAACTAAAAATTAAAGCAATAATGAGATGTCATCTTTGCTAAATTATCAAGTTTCTGAAAAAAACAAACACACAAACTGGCAAACAAGGCAAGAGTGCAGGGAAATGCTTCACCAGAAATAGAATGGGTTCAAGTTTTTAAAAGTTCACAATAAACCTTCAGTTTAAGCATACCTTTTTTACAGTTTTAATTTAAAAAATTTACTGCAGACAATATTCAGTGATTTACATAAAACTACATGTTCAAGGATAATCATTACAGCATGCAGTGAGCCTGAGGAAAAGCTCGGGAATATGCATTTTGATAAACTTGCCAGCTAACTCTGGTGTTGGAGGTCAGACTGTGACATAGTGGACCTGCAAAAGTTAAAAACAAACAAAAAACCCCCAAACAGAACAAAAACAAAACAACCTACGAATAACAGCAACAAAACAAAACAAAACTTTGCCAGGCATACCGGATCATATCCTCGGCACTGTGATCTTCTCAGGATTGAGTTCCTTTGTTATCAAAATTCTGTATTTCGTTTGTACTTGGGGATGATTATATCACGTGCCATACACATACTGTAGTATAGGGGTTAGGAGGAAATCAGAGAACTTTAGAGGGCTGTACATTGTTCAGCGAACAGCCAGACCCTGACCCGCCTGGCCTCAGAAGCCTTTATCTACACGGTTGGGAGGTCCCTTGGCTGATAGCTGGTTAGCGCGCATTTGTGCAGGAGGGAACTTTTCGATCACTCCTCGGGGACCCAGGGCGCCCCTAGAGACTGCTCTAGGACACAGGACCTAGTGGAGGGAAACGGAGACGGTGGCAGTGGACGGTGGCGGCAGGAGCATCTCTGGATCTGTTGCTCTCGAGGCTCCTGGGCTGCGGGACCGAGTGATTCTGAGGAGCGCGGGTAGCGGTGGGGGCGCTGGGGCCGCCCTTTCCCGCAGGGGGCGGAGCGGGACGCGAGCGGTTCCACCTGGAGGACGCGACCTCCCGGAGCCGCGGGGCGGCAGGACCTGGGAAAAGGACCTCTGAAACGCTCGGGGCGCTGGCGGTGCGATCTCGGGCATCCTGATCGGTGGCGCCAGGCTCCGCCGCCCCAGCGCGTCTCTCTCCCGGCCAGAAGTTTGCCACGCGCCGGCCAAGTTGGAGAGTCTGGAAGCTCCAGGAAGAAGCTCCCCGCTTCTGGCTCCTGCGGTTCCGGGCATGGCCGGGCTGGGGGCTTCACCCTACATGTGCTGGTGGCTGATTCTCGGCAGCAGTCTCCTCGCCCAAGCCCAGGTAAGCGCGGTACGCGCGGTACCCGCGGCACCTGCTTCCGGAGCCTCCCGCGTTACCAAGACCCAGAAGGCGCACGCGGGCTCTCCCGCTCACACATCCACACACCCGCACCCGGCAGGTTTGACAGGCAGTTTAGTGGAGCTGCAGGGCGAGTGCTGTCCAGGGGCGCGCACTGATGGGATCAGCATCTTGGCATCTGCAAACTAAGGGGTATTTTTGAACAGCGGAGTTCTGCATCAGAATGCGCAGCTGGAAGGTGAAGGAACTTTTCTTTCTCCTAGACCATGGTACTCGTTTAAATAATCCACATGAGGTTTGGCTGCTGGAAATTTACCATCGCTTTTGAGAACTTAAAACTTCTAAATCCGATTGTGCCACTGTCTGAAAGGATAACTAGCCCTGATACAGGATCACATACCATTAAAGCAAAGAGACTAGATAGAATAAAACTATAGTGTTAAATGTTAACAAGCAGCTCGGTTGTTCCTGTTAGGAGTAAGCGGTGGTTGTCATTTTCCTCCCGTATTATTGTTTAGGGGTTTGCTGAGTGATCTTTCACAACGGAGCCTCTTTAATGCACAAGGCACGATTCATCGGCACTTTTTTTCCCTTTTTGAGTCAAACCCAATGTAAGGTTTACAGCTTTTCAGATGAGCTAGAAAGAAATGCATGTGGTTGTGGGTGTTACGCAGTGTGAGACCTGTGAATTTAAACGGACTCAAGGTTATTTCTGTCCGATTCGGTAGAGGGCGCATTTGACCGTCAAATGAAGTCCCAACTTTTATTTAAAAAAATCTTTCGTTACAAAATGAAGGCGTTGAGGGATCAATGTATGTTCTGGTATTTTCTAAACTTAAAACTATGTTCTTGAATTTCAAATAACTGGTTTAAATTTTAATCATTATAAATGGTAGTTAAAAATCGACCCATCATAGTCAAAAATCACATAAAGTAAAACTCAGGAGTTTCTAGGAAATAAATGTCTTGGGATTTACCTATCATGAGCAGGATATTTCATGTAAATTTATTTTGTTAAAAATAAAACAATTTGTGTCTCATACATTGATTAATAATATTAGCAAAGGCTGCTTAAAAGGAGGGTACATTCAAAAGTCATCAAGTTAACAGAAGGAATATGAATTTGGAAAAAGTCCCCAAGGATTTGGTGATACATTTTCATTACAGCTATTTAAACTCTGGTGATCTCTAATGTACTACATCTCTAATGTACTACATTTCCTCTCATATTTGGAAAATATGCTTGAAACCACCACCTCTTAGTATAAGGGGCAAATTAATTCTAACCATTTATTTATTTCAAAGTTCTAGATCATTTCTAAGGAAATGGGGAGATATTACATGGTACAATTAAAAACACTATGGAACCACATATAGAATATTTCCTTTTCTTTTTGCTTTCAATAAAACAAACACTGAACATCTTATAATAACTTTAGATCCGTTTCTCAACTTTGATACTATTGACATTTTGGGCCATGCAATTCCTTGTTTTGGGGTTTGTCTTGTATATTGTAGGATATTTAGTAGTATCCTTGTCCTCTATCCACTAAATGCTAGTGGCATCTCTCCCCTGCCACCCAGTGACAACCAGAAGTGTTTGTAGATGTTGCCAAATGTCCTTGGGTAGCAAAATCACTCCTGGTTGAGAATCATTACCTTACACTGACTGGTATTTAATTATGTTTATAGGTAAAGAATTACATAAAATGGCAATTTGTGATAATGTTTCATTCATCAATTTTGGGGGCTTTAAACAAAACTTGCAGACATGATTATACATTCTCTGACCTTCAGTTTCTTCATCTTCAAAAGAGTCACATTGGACTAAGATTCTTTTAATTCTATAATTTTTGGTTTATTACATTAAGTTATAGTCATTATCTGCTTTGAAATTCAATAGCGACCAAACACATTCTGTGTATTATTTACTCCAAGATTTAGTTGCTGATTTTATTAGCCCAAGTATGAGAGACAGGCATTTATGAAAATGTTTCAATTTGCTTTTTAAAAGCACCTAGTTATTGATGAATATTCTCCTAGCTTAAATTATAATGATAGAACACCAAAGGGAACTCACCAAAGCAGAATGAATCTGTGTAGAATAAATACTTAGTATAAGAAACATCAGATCATATGACAAAATAGATGATAGACTAGTGCTCATCAATTGTTTGCAAGACCTCTGTAGGTTTTGGGTGGTAAAGATGCTGCCTTTGCCTCAATGCCCAGTTCAAAACCCAAGCCTTCATTCCTTGTGTGTCAGTACAGAGCCTAGCAATGCATTTCCTGAAGTCAAGTTATCGCATGGGAATGAGGACCATTATATAAATGTGCTTGGTACTTTCATTGTTGTGCGAGTGGGTCCCTCTGGTAACAGACATTGAGATGGAGTTAGGGGTGCAAGAAGTTTGTTGGGGGAGGGGATAATGCCCATGAAAGATAAAAAAGTGAGGAAGCGGGATGAAGCAGTTATAGCTAGCAAACTGGGACAGTTTCAGCCACGAATGGAGAGTCCTGGGGGCAAAGGTTGCCCATGGGGAGTCCCAGGTTATGAAAAATGGCCAGGTTCTAGTTCCTGAGCTCAGTCATCAGCTGGAGTTTGTTTAAAAGATCAGAGACTTAGCTCAAAAGCTGAGACAGATGCTTTAAAGCACCTCAGCTGGAAGCTCTCTGGGAAATGCTCTCTTTACAGATGAATGACTTGTTCTTTTTGGAAGGACCATCCCTTCTTGACTGCCTCCATTACAAAATTATCAAGAAATAACCTTGGTTTTGCTGGGTTTGAGAGTGGGATGGTTGCTGCATGACTTGGTTGCCTACTGTGGCTCTGAGACAGCGTGAGTGTTGGGAAATGAATGCAAATCATCACTATGACTGGAAAAAAGCACCAGAAGCTCATGATGTAGAGTCGAAGTATGTGATTTTCTCATGGTACTTGGTGTGGGCAGATCCCAATGGGCAGATTTTGGTTCCTAGTTCTTACTAATTTTTCCTGCATGGAGTCCCAGTGCTGCCATGAGCATTCTGGTGCAGGAGAAGGGGCTTTGGACTGGAAACCCAGAAAGCTGCATTTAGATTCCTGCCCAGGTAATACCCAGCCTCCTCTTATGTGCAGCAAGGAGGGTGAGCTCTAATGACCTCTAGAAAGAAGATTCAGCGTTTACTAGAAAGTAAAAAAAAAAAAAAAAAAAAAATCTCTTACTGGGTAGAAAAAAAGGGCAATTCTTCATGCCATTTATTTACTTACCAAGTGCCAAATGCTATACCCAGTACTTTATTCTCTTACTGGATTCTTGTAGTAGCTTTGTGAGGCATGTACTATAATTACTTATACTTTTTAAAATGAGATTACTGTGCTAAGAGATGTTAGTATACTCAACTCACATGCCTAACAGTAGTGTAGCCATGATTTATGCTCTTGCTTCTGTCTTCAGAGCCTAACCCCACTAGGGGTGCCCTTGCCGTGGGGTCAGTTTGGCACTGTTTAGCTTAAGTATGTATAACACATTCTATCACAGCAATACCCACCCCTGGGAATCTAGCCTTTGGAATTTCTCACATAGGCAATGATCATTGTGGCAATTCTATGATGTTAGAAAATTGGGCACAGTCTGAGTGTTTTAACGGTTTATTATGCAGCAATAAAAAGCAATGCATTAAATGTATGCAAACCAGCATGGTGAGATTGTAAGAACACGATAAGATGTGACAGAGAAACAATGACATGTATAACACCATTTCTATACCTTAAAATATATGCACACAAAACAGGAATACATGTTGTGTATACCCATATCAAAGGTGTGTGTGTCTCACCTAAATGTTTGTAGAGAAGGAGGGGGATAGAGATAAAAGGGGGCAAATCAATCAACCAAATAAACTTACACTCTGCACCTCTCTGAGTTTCTTGTGTTAATTGGAAAATGTGGTTATAGATGGAATTACCAACAGGTCATGACTGGTAGAATTAAGCACGAGGACAGTCACAGGACATGGGCATGTCCTCCATGGTTAGCTAAGCTGGGAGACCATCCTTAGCACAGTTAAATGGAAACATGACTGCTGTCACTCTATTGTGCTTATTACTACCAGCACGGTTATAGCTGCACATCCCATACTTGGATTGTTCTTTTTCTTTCCTGTTGACAGCCAGACTGTTTCCATTTGTCCTTTAGTTACACGGCAGCATTCTCTTCCTGAAGGGGTGGACTTCTCAGTAGCTGCACTAATTGCGGGTAGTCTCTTCAGTCCCAGTAGCCCACAGGCAGTGGGATCAAAGGGAGCCAGATGTGTTTTTTTTTTCTTGGCAGTACACACAAAGTAGACTTCATTTCTCCAGAATGTCCTCAATTCTTCGTGAATAAAACTACGACTTTCCAACCAACATCCATGCATCCTGTTTATTTTCCATCTGGCCTCAGTTGTCATCTGCCAGAACACATCCATGTCCTTCTTTCTTCCCTCTCTGTATTGTTTTTTTTTTTTTTTTGTCTTTCTCTGAGCTATTCTTTAATTTTTTTTATATACTGGGGATCAAATCCAGGGGTGCCTAACCACTGAGCACATCTCCAGTCCTTTTTATTTTTTATTTAGAGACAGGGTTGTGCTAAGTTGCTAAGGTCCTTGCTAAGTTGCTGAAGCTGGCTTTGAACTTGTGATCCTCTTGCCTCAGCCTCCAGACTGCTGGGATTACAGGCCTGCACCACTGCACCTGGCTTAGTCTTTAAAATTTGTAATGCCTGTGTGATTTTGGAAAGTGCATTTCATCTCTTTACTCTTATTTCCTCCGCTGGAAACAGAGGCAATAATAGCATCTGCCTATAAAATCTAAGGGTCTTGAATTTAAAAATATATACGAACAAGCAGAAGCCTTAAGCTTTTTGAGAATTAATATGCCAGTCCTTTTCTCTTTTTTTTCCCTAGCAGATTAGTCAAGATTTCATTTTAATTAGGTGATTCTTTAGAGAGTATTTCTAAAT